GCCGGCTGGTCAAAATGTCCAGTCAAAATAATTTCCCTTTAGCGCAATACCGCTTCAGTTGCGCCACTTATGTGACAGACAAGAAGAGTATGTGACAGACAAGAAAAATAGTCAATTCTAATGTCTAACACGTAATGTGGAGAAAGAGATGTCCTGTCTGGGTTGATTGTGCGTTGATCTGTTGGTAATGCCTCGGGGCTCCGGTGAGCATGTAAACAAATGCATGATGCTGCGCTATACTTTGTGGCCTCACCCGGTTGCATAGCGACACTTATTGTTTAGGTGTCTTTTAATAAGCAGGTAGTCCTATCATTAGCTAAAACTAGCTGGATCTGATCGATATGGACATAAACGCGAGTGAAGTCTAATCTGACGGGAGAGAGAGATCAGATGCTGCTGACGAGTCGACACGCAGCTCTGCATGATCACATGCAGCGGTGAGCGGACAAAACACACACTTCAGGTTAGAATATCACTCGTAGCTATTTTAATTACCTCTCAAACTACCTAAACTAGTTATAGATATGTTTAGTTTTACTGTCGGGTCACTCATTACTGGATCCGCGAGCTGCATGATACTGGCATAATAGATTGCCCGATCGGGCAACCAGCAGGTGAGGCCTCATTGCCCGAGCTAAATACTAGATGGCCCCGGGTACCAATTTAAATTGAGGTTTGCAAAAAAAAAATATAGTGGAAGACATGTCCATACAAAAAAACAAGTACATTTAATTGAACTCATAGCCCTGTGGAACCCAAGTGTCCCTGTTGCTTTATCGGCTTATATGAAAGTTGTAAGGGGAATTTAATTGACCCACTGCCCCTGATATTTTAAACTGGCCACCAATTGTGCTCTCAAATACTTGAATAGAGATATTTAGTCAAGTATATGATGGGAGTTAATTCTGATCTTAATAACAAAATAAACTCATGGTTAAAAACAAGAAATTACACTTTGCTCACCATCTTGTGCTGCTTGACAACACGAGTGCCTCCATTCTTGTCTCCTCCAACTGTCTTGACAATAGTTGCCTTGGGTCTCTCCCTAATCTTTTTCTCCACCTGAAACAAAAAACAAATTGTCATCAATACAAGAGTCAAGGGTATGGTTTTATCTTCTATTTTACATGGTGTCACATATCTGCCCTCACCTTGGTCTCAGTGATCTTGCTCTTCCTCTTGTACATGGCCCTGCGGGCATACATAGCTGACCGGGAGTAACGGCCGATACCCCGGGCCAGGACCGGGTTCCGGCTCCCGTGCTTCCTCTTGGGAGTCTTTTTGTCTCCGTCTGCCATCTGACATAAAAAGGAAAAAGGTTAGTAAACCAGAAGTATGTGGTGTCCACTATCAAATGAATTCATTTGTACATGGTTTATTTTTAAATAATCTTCTAGACTCCAAACAGTATTCCAGCTATGGTTGGAAAGTCTGCTGCACACAGTTTATAAGTACTATGATTTTGGTATTCATCAACCTGACAGAAGGCTAACACTGTAGCAATTCTACAGCCTATAAGAAAATGTGTCCAGTTTAAAATGACAACGCTTTTGGAGCAGCAGAAACAAATATTGAAATATGCAATAAGTTGCTTAACACAAGAAAACATCCCGGCAATACAGCAGATGATTACTAAACGTGCTTGGCTGGTAGCTACACACCACAGCCTTCGCCTATGCACTACAGGCATGTAACGTTAGCTAGCAATAGCAACATTAGAAGAAGAGTCGTATGGTCGCTAGACAGCCACTTGCGTTCTTAAAACTGACAATGTAATGTTATAAAATGCATCTCATGTGTCAGCGGAATTATTTAGTTTGTCGGTACGACCGACTAACGAAGGACCACACGTTTCTATTAGTCCGCTAGCTAACGTTATAGCCTAGCCGGCGGCCTAGGTCTGCATATACACCAAACTGTTCATTATTACAGAAATATGACGGACGAATCGCAAAAATAACCATGTCTACCGCATCGTTATAGTACAAAGAGTCGTATCCTGATATTTAGAGACTGATTGTTTAATTCTGTAACACAGATGCAAACAGATTTTATTTCAACAGAACCACGAAGGCAAGGCAGTCTTACCTTTGCTATGAAAAAAAGACCGTCATCCGGGGATGTGACGTATATAACGACGCTGAACGATGACGTTTACGTAATTGCGTCGCGTTAAAAGGATGGTCTTTGTAGTCCTAAATATATTTCCCGATTATTCTCACTGAACATGAACATTTAATGCTTTTATAGAGCTTGTAGAAACATTTATGCTGACTGTATGATGGAATCAAGTTTGATATTGGAGATTATTAGCTGTAGGAGTATTGTTATTTATTTATTATCTTATCTTGTTTTTTGAAGTGATCCAAAAACAATTCTACTAAGTGCAGAGCCTTAAATAAAAAACATAGTCTGAAGCACATGTTATGTTTTCTGTTATTTGTTTTTTCAAACTGTACTTGCTATAAGTAACATCTAAATTCCAGACTTTTGTCTACTTTAAAAAAAAAAGGGTTTAAGCTTCTTTGTATTTATGAGTAAGTCACTACAATTAGAAAGCCTACATACATGTCTGATGTCAAAAACCACTGTAGTAATCCTTTCTCCATGGGTATATGTGTTCAGTTTTTCATAATGAATTTTAATCTTATGTATTGCAAGAAACAACATTTTACTGCAATTGAAAATATGTTATTAAAAAACAAGCTTTAAAACCAAAGTACGTTTTTTCTGTTTGTCTCATGTTAATCCCTGCTCATCTAGAAAAAAACACTTGAAAAACACAATTCAACTTTAGTTTTTGAAAATGTTATTTATTGAGAATATTTGACACAGACATACAAAATCAGTTTCTGTTGGAGCCCTCGCAGGTCAGACATATTTACTGGAACATCTGGTCCCTGATAATGGAGATCGAAAACATAATAAAGGCAAACACCAGGGTTCAGATTCCTTACTGTAACCCAATACAGACTGTTCTTTATGGAGTTAATAATATGCTACACTTGTGAATGTGATCTAGCTCTGTGACACATTTACACACACAGTCTCTTGCAGTCTGGTAATACAATCACAGAAACATGAGTTTGTTCTTCATCTTCACATGGCTTCCAAGGCAACAATGGACTGAAACATTTATTATAGTGTTTTTGTATGAATAGAACGTAAGGAGTTATAATGCTTAGCAAAATAAAAAAGAATGTTGATCTTTGTGTTCCAGGGTAAAAGCTGTGCAGCAGTGCCTCATGTTAACATTTGTCATTTCACAGTACCTAATGTAAGATGTTTTGTTTGATTTATTTTTAGCATGTGTCAACTGTGTTTTATTATATTTGAGTGGACGGTGGCAAAAGACATTCTTCTACAGCATTCCTCTGAAACTGGCAGCTGCTTCGTTCAGTACTTTTCCAGGATGATGGCGATGCCTTGACCTCCACCGATGCAGGCAGAACCAACGGCGTACTTGCCTCCTCGTCGCCTGTAGGAACAACAAAGTTCAATATTCAATGCTCCTCAATGTGCAACCTTCGCCTGATATAATGTACATTCATTTAATCAAACGATAAAATTACCTGAGCTCATGAACCAGGTGGGCAGTGATACGTGCTCCAGAGGCACCAAGAGGATGCCCAATGGCAATAGCTCCACCGTTAACGTTGGTTTTTGCTGGATCCAGTCCGAGAGCCTTAGCAACAGCCAGGTACTGAGCGCCAAAAGCCTCGTTCACCTGTGCGAAACAAAAGTCACCAATGACACAAATGTGTTGTAGCTGAATCAATCAAAACACATATAAAAAGGCAGTTTTGGAAGGCAACTATTATTATAACTCAAGTACAATTTGAAGTTACATTAATTTGGTATTTCCTTTATTTACCTTTATTCATTGAGTTGGATTCTTTTTTATTGAAACGTATAATAAACCTAAAATTCCAATAAATTGTGAAAGATTTAATTGTTTTTTAAAAATGTTTTTGGCTTGTGACTCCTTACAAAAAAGCAGTGTCTACTCTGAGCACCTTTAAAGATCTAAGAGACATTATCAGCTACACCAAAGCAACTTTAGTGAATTATTATTAACAATCTGATAAGGCTAAATAAAATAATATATCTGTGACAGGATACGCATCTCTTTGGGAGCGAGTACTTGAAGTATAATTTGCTTATAATACTTCTGTACTTTCATAGTTCTAAACTAGTGCAGCACTTTAACTTGTCATGATGGATTTCCTTAGATTACTGTATTGGTGCTT